ACGAGACTCAGGCTCACGTCGCTCTGTAAGACCTCCTGTGGGACCAGTGTAAGGAGAGGGAGCAGGGAGAGGCGAGGTAGGCGGTAACTGTGACTGCGGCTGGACAGGCGGAGGACACTCTACGGAGGGAGGAGGACAAGGAGGAGGAGCCTGCCCAAGAACCTGCTGAAGGAGCGGTACGAAGTACGGTCGCGGCCGCGCAGCGTCTCCAGAAGCAGAGGAGACTCCAGCGGCCGGGTCCACAGCACCAGCAGCAGCTCCACCGGCCGGGTCCTCAGCACCAGTAGTAGCTCCAACGCCCGGGTCCTCAGTAGCAGCAGCAGCGCCACCGCTCGGGTCCTCAGCTCCAGCAGCAGCTCCACCGTCCGAGTCCTCAGTACCAGCAGCAGCTCCACCGTCCGGGTCCTCAGCACCAGCAGTAGCGCCACCGGTCGGGTCCTCAGCTCCAGCAGCAGCTCCAACGTCCGAGTCCTCAGCACCAGCAGTAGCTCCACCAGGCGGGTCCGCAGCACCAGCAGCAGCTCCCACGTCCGGGTCCTCAGCACCAGCAGCAGTGCCACCCCCAGGGTCCGCAGCACCAGGAGCACCACTCCGAAGACTGCAGCGCCGTGTGTACCACTCGCGGATCTGCTGAATGGGGGGGAGCTCCTGGGTAGGAGGGGAAGTACCGGGACGAGCTCCAGCAGCACCTCTCCGGAGGCGGCAGTACTCGAGGTACCTCTCCTGCAGCTGCTGGGAGGAGAGGGCTCCTCCAGGTGTAGCACGCTCAGGCTCAGCACCCCCAGGCCCAGCACCCCCAGGCTCAGCACCTCCAGGCTCCGCACCTCCAGGCTCCGCACCTCCTGGCTCAGCACCCCCAGGCTCCGCACCCCCAGACTCAGCACTCCCAGGCTCAGCACCCCCAGACGCAGCACCCCCAGGCTCTGCACCATGTCAGAATGAACGGACAGGAATGACTGTACTAGCACAAAGTTGGATACAAGTAGTAAACCCTAATCTAGTGTACCCCCTAAGGTGTAACCCACTACAGCCTACAATCATATAAACATATAATGTTTGACAGGGTGCCATGGGAGTGGAGCTAGGGTTTCAGCAGGGGGTGTGTGTCGAGGGGTGTGGGACTGTTGGGGGAGGTTGAGGGGAGGTTGCCGTCGTGTCGTACGCAGCGCCTGTACTCCGGGGCACTCACTCCCGGTAGCTCAGAGAGCCGGTTGCGCCGTCGCCTGTGGGTCCGTTGCTCCTGCTGCTCGTCTTAGCCGCGGAGCCTGTTACTCCTGTACTCCGGGGCACTCACTCCCGGTAGCCACTGTGTCGCACCAGAGCCGTCTGTTGCCCGTGTGCCTGCAGCTTCAGTCGTCGCCTCCCATCTACTCTCCTCTCGCCAGCCCTCCTCCTCCTCACTTGCCCGTTGTGACTACCACTAGCTTTGCTCATAATTGTGAACTTTAAACTATTGCTTCTTAAACTTGTGCTCAGAATGTGTGGTGACATTGTGATCCACCCTGAGCTTGTACTGCTTTGCTTGCTCTGCTGATTACACCCCACTTTGGCTATGGGGGTGTGTCAGAATATTATGCTCTAGCCTGTAGTGGGGTGCTCTGTAGCGAGTACAACCCTTCTAGGGTTTGCTATTTGTATCCCCATTCTTGCTAGTGCAACCCTCCTCTTTCGCCTAAACTCTCTTGCCTAGCTAGGACTCTCCTAGCTATGGCTCCTAAGTCTATCGCTTATCTTGACAATAGTGACCGAACCGACCAACGCATTATTTTCTATGTAGAAATACAACGAGTATCACATATGTTTCCGTTTTCCAATATATTATACCATTCCCCACCCCCCCACCACGTTCTAACCTTTTAGATCTACATAATTTGACAGATATAGACATTCCAAACGTGCATGGTACCTGTACTACAGGCGCGCATGCTGACCAAACTGACCAGCGCATTACTTATATTTGCAAAGACATTTAGTACCATTTTCTTGCCAGTCTACTAGATTAGGCCTTGTATTTTAATAATACTAGGTTCTAACCTTTTCGATCCACATAATTTGGGAGATTTCAGAGTTTCAGCTACGCCTTGTACCTGCACACAAGCGTGCATAGTGACCGAACCGACCAACGCATTATTTTCTATGTAGAAATACAACGAGTATCACATATGTTTCCGTTTTCCAATATATTATACCATTCCCCACCCCCCCACCACGTTCTAACCTTTTAGATCTACATAATTTGACAGATATAGACATTCCAAACGTGCATGGTACCTATACTGCAGGCGCGCATGCTGACCAAATTGACCAGCGCATTACTTATATTTGCAAAGACATTTAGTACAATTTTCTTGCCAGTCTACTAGATTAGGCCTTGTATTTTAATAATACTAGGTTCTAACCTTTTCGATCCACATAATTTGGGAGATTTCAGAGTTTCAACTACGCCTTGTACCTGCACACAAGCGTGCATAGTGACCGAACCGACCAACGCATTATTTTCTATGTAGAAATACAACGAGTATCACATATGTTTCCGTTTTCCAATATATTATACCATTCCCCACCCCCCCCCCCCCCCCCCCCCCCCCCCCCCCCCCCCCCCCCTACGTTCTAACCTTTTAGATCTACATAATTTGACAGATATATGCATTCCAAACGTGCATGGTACCTAAACTACCGGCGCGCATGCTGACCAAACTGACCAGCGCATTACTTATATTTGCAAAGACATTTAGTACCATTTTCTTGCCAGTCTACTAGATTAGGCCTTGTATTTTAATAATACTAGGTTCTAACCTTTTCGATCCACATAATTTGGGAGATTTCAGAGTTTCAACTACGCCTTGTACCTGCACACAAGTGTGCAAAGTGACCGAACCGACCAACGCATTATTTTCTATGTAGAAATACAACGAGTATCACATATGTTTCCGTTTTCCAATATATTATACCATTTCCAACCCCCCCATCACGTTCTAACCTTTTAGATCTACATAATTTGACAGATATAGACATTCCAAACGTGCATGGTACCTGTACTACAGGCGCGCATGCTGACCAAACTGACCAGCGCATTACTTATATTTGCAAAGACATTTAGTACCATTTTCTTGCCAGTCTACTAGATTAGGCCTTGTATTTTAATAATACTAGGTTCTAACCTTTTCGATCCACATAATTTGGGAGATTTCAGAGTTTCAGCTACGCCTTGTACCTACACACAAGCGTGCATACTGACCGAACCGACCAACGCATTATTTTCTATGTAGAAATACAACGAGTATCACATATGTTTCCGTTTTCCAATATATTATACCATTTCCAACCCCCCCATCACATTCTAACCTTTTAAATCTACATAATTTGACAGATCTAGACATTCCAAACCTGCATGGTACCTGTACTACAGGCGCGCATGCTGACCAAACTGACCAGCGCATTACTTATATTTGCAGAGACATTTAGTACCATTTTCTTGCCAGTCTACTAGATTAGGCCTTGTATTTTAATAATACTAGGCTCTAACCTTTTCGATCCACATAATTTGGGAGATTTCAGAGTTTCAGCTACGCCTTGTACCTGCACACAAGCGTGCATAGTGACCGAACCGACCAACGCATTATTTTCTATGTAGAAATACAACGAGTATCACATATGTTTCGGTTTTCTAATATATTTTGCAGCCTCGGTGTTGCGAATATGTTTTTTACGGAATATTGTTATGCAGTGCACTGTTCGAAGTGCAGAAGCGAAGCGCCCTATATCGAGGAAGTTGACTCAGGTCTCGATCTGCAGGTGCGCAACCGTACACAGTGGTTGCGCCCCGCGTGGCATACGAAGGGTCGAATTGGAGCAGGAGGCAGCAAATACAGTGCACGAAACTGCCCTGCAGGGCGCGGTATTCTGCCGCGCCCTTTCCGAAGCTGAACAGTCGCGCCAGCGCGACTGTAACAGGGCAACCGAACCGTTACAGCGCAACTGTAATACAGTTGCGCCTTGGTAACTGTTTGCCCTATCTGTTCCCTATATAAATCAATGTATTGCCATGCTATTATTACACAATTCTCAAGCTTGTGTCCGGCCTACCCTCGGCCGCCGCTTTGGCACCAAGTTACAAGCTAGGAGAGCTACCTCTGAGTGACCATTGCCCCGCCGCTGGGACGTCGTTAATTCCTAGAGTATTTCCGCTACTCTAGCGACCTCCTAATTTCAACACTCGGTATCGGAAATGTTGGCCGATCGTGCGAAATTCGAAATGTCGGGGTTGTACACGTAGTAGCAGTCAACCTCGGTAAGGAATAAGGAAAAGTTCCTTACATCTCTCCACTGTACTTCAACGAGACATTTTGAAAGGAGGACGTTAGGCTTGTGCTTTGGGAAAACCTACTTTGCTGTCGCCTGACCACCAGCTATGGCAAGAACGGACCAATCTGCCTTGACTTCGATGGACGGTCGGGATTGACCGTACCCACCGTGTCGCATTGCCCTGGGCGAACGAACCATTTACAGTACGGTCGCTGGGGAGGGTGTGAAGTGTGAGGAAAACAGTGAAATTTACAGCTTGGGCCCATTGCATGCTGTTCTCGTGGCGCGCTGCTGAGCTGTCGTCGCCCAGGGTGGGCCTTGCCTTGCACTTGGTGGTTTGGCATAGCAGTATCACCCGTCGCACGGGCGGGAACTTCGTTCCCCCCAGCACGGATTGGTTGAGCGACGCGAAGCTGATTTGGCCAGACCAGCCAAGTGTGGTGCGCGAGAGTTTGACGCGCTGTTGCGCCACACGGTCAGTTCAACCAACGATGGAGGCTGCTGCAAATTAGCGGGTTGATGCTGCTGATGTAGGTTCACATTGGTTTGTGCCAGCTAGACAGCGCGGTGCGGCAACCCAAGTCAAAGTGGCGACGGCAAGGAGAAACGAAGCAGCATACATCAGCAGCAAGCACAAAAGAGATGGAATTATCGCAGTTCAATTTTTTACAATTATTCCTCACGGGCCTCCAATAATGTCGAGTCTGTTTCCCTGTGCCTGCTAAGCTTGGTAACGAAGCACACACGTGAAACAGGTAGACTCAAAATAGGGGCCTCTCTCTATCCCTCCCTCTCTACGTCCACAGCAGTCGAGAGGTGAAGAATCTCACAATCTTGACGTAGCTTGTAGTACCTGCGACGACGTTTTGATATTGAAGGTTAAGCGCTTGAGCTAGAGAACTGATTAGCGCTGTCGAGGCACGCAGAGGGGATGGAAGGCGACTGGGCGTGGCTACAGCCGTCGTGGGCGCATCTGGAATCGTGGCAGCAGCGGCAGCAGCCGCAAGCGGAAGCGGATTGCGGCAGCTGGAACAGCAGCGGTGCGTGCAGCTGCTGCGGCCACAGCAGCAGCGGCTCTAGCGACGGCGAATGGCTCACAGGCGCGCCGTCGTTCGATGACACGTGGCCCGAACAGGTATTGGGATGTGAAGCGTGCCCGTGGTAGCGTGTTTACTGGTGCTCGCCATGCCATGATGCCCAAGCTTCAAGTGCAATCGACGAGTCCGTAGGTCGCGTGTTCCTCGTGTGCAGTAGTATTCACTGCGCTGTTCCCACTTTCACCTCCCTCACCTTCTTCCTCCCACCGTCGCCCCTTTTTCCCCGTCACTTGCACCAATGCGGCCTCCAGGTGGAACTCGTGCCCACTCGATTCGGCCCCCTGCGCGTGACTATATCTGGCGACCGCCGGAATCACCCGCTCTTCACGTATCACGACATCGCTCTCGATCGTAAGCGCGCTTCGGCTGCTTTCTACCCTGCGGTCGCATGAGATCCGAGCCGCGCTGCTCTCCTCAATCTTTTCGCTTCCTGATTTTTGTTTCGCCCCTCGGGTTCCCCTCCCTGCCGCATACCTCGCAACAAGCCGTCAACTTGCTTTTGACGTCACCCTGCTAACCCGTTCCGCTTCCAAACTACCCTCCCCTTTTCTTCCCCCTCTCCCCCTTTCCCTGCCTCCCCGTCCCGCGCCCGTATGTGCGTGCACCCGATCCCCGTGCGTACAGACGCGTCGTGCTTCGGAGCGCTCTTCAGGTGCCCCGACACCGCGCCGCTGTTGCGGCAGCACTTCTGCGTCTTCCACGTGGACGCGCCCGACCACGAGGTGAGCACTCGTCGCGCGGGGCGGAGTCGCGGTAGTTTTACTGGCGGAGATGTTGCGCTGGTTCCAAGGAATGTTTCTTCGCGTCGCTCCCCCCGCTCGCCTAACCACAGCCCACTCCCCGCTTCCCTAGCCAATTTCGTTCTCCCCCCGTTTCCCTCCCCCCACTCCCCTCCAACTCCGCTTCCCCTTGTCGTCCGTCGCATCGCCCCTGCGCACGCGGCAGGAGGGAGCGGCATCGGGGCGGCAGCAGCGGAGAAAGCTATCGGCGGATGACTTGGCGGAGCAGGTCGCGGACGCCATCGCACACTTCGGGTGAGCCGGGGGACCTTTCTCGCGCCCGTAACACTTCCGTTTCCCAACTTATGCCGCGTCTTGCGCTGTCATTTGCGCCGTCCCGCGCCGTACATTCACGACTCTACTCTCATTGGATTATCGTGCGTCACGGCCCGCCCTTGCTGACATGCCCGTGCTTCCTTTCCCCTTGCGCGCGCTCCCTTGGTGTTATTGGGCAGTCTCCCAGCGGTGACGGGCCTTGGCGTCACGGCAGGCGCGTACGTCCTCACGCTGCTCGCGGTACGCCTCGCACCTCCCCACTGCACTGCTGCACTGCACGGCACGGGAACCACCCACACACTGCCGTTTTGTTGAATGCACGTGTGATACCTTGTCCCTTCACATCTCCTGGATTCTGACTCTTACTCTTCCATTACCCATCCTCCTTGTGCCGTGCCCCCTTTCCCATCGCCCCGCACTGACTGCCCACGTGTGTGCCATCCCGTGCGACGTGGCGCATCAGATCAAGCGGCCAGAGCTGGTGCGCGCGCTCATCCTGGTGTCGCCGGTGTGCCGCACGCCCACGTGGAGCGAGTGGGCCTTCAACAAGGTGCCTCTCCCCCCGCCGCCCCTTCATGCCCACCTGCTTCCGCCTCTTGCACATCCCTCCACCAACCCTGCTCGCCCATTGTCCCAATTTCACGCCTCGTCTCGTTTGCCTCTCTTCCAGTTTTCACTCATACCCCCAACTCCACCCGTGTGTGCGACCGTCCTGTGGCGTGCAGTTGCTGCTGTCCGTGCTGTCTCTGTCGGGGCTGCCCGCCCTTGTGTCGGGCGCCTTCTCTGGCCGATACCTCAGCCCAGCCTCGCACACCAAGGTCAGCTGCTGCTGCTGCTGCTGCTGCTGCTGCTGCTGCTGCTGCTGCTGCTGCTGCTGCTGCTGCTGTTGCTGCTGCTGCTGCTGTTGCTGCTGCGAGCACCATTCATATGCCACGGCTGTGGCGGGCATCATACACGCGCCACTCGCGCTCCACATTGTGTCGCACAGGTTTCTGTAGCCCTCGCTCCATGCACGTTGTGATTACTGACGGGCTGCTGCTTGCCATGTGTTGCCTGTGTTGGTGCGTGCCTGCAGGGCGGCACCTCTTCTGCCACACACCTCGCATGTCAGTCGCTAGCAGCTCAGCCGCTCTCACCACGGTCGCAGCCCTCGCACCCGGTACATGGCCGTACTCACCATCGCCCTCTTCCGCTTCCCATCCGGCTCTATGCTGCTGCTCTGCTTCGTATCACTCTGCTCGTCTGGCTTATCTGAGACACTCATGTGTGTGTGTGCCCATGTGCTCCCTGCCTCCCTTTTTTCGCCTGTGGTACGTGCAGCGAGCAGAGGAGGGCGAGGAGAGGGATGCGCGTGCTGTGGCACAGTATGCCGACGCCTTCAACAAGTGAGACGCCTCGCCTCCCCCTGCCATTGCGCCACTCACCGCCCTCCACCATGCTGCAAACGCTCTCTCACCACCACTCCACCTGCTCACACCACCTCACGCTATGTTGCTGCAACCCTTCCCCACACCCGATCATCCTCCCACCCCCTTCCTGCATTCCCCCTCATGCCATGCCATGCGGTGCCGTGCTGAGTGCAGTCGGAGGGACATATCACAGCAGGTGCGGCGCATCACATGTCCGTGCCTCGTGCTCGTGGGCGAGCACTCCGCCTTCCGAGACGACGCCCTGCACCTGCACGCACACCTACCGCCGCACCTCGCCGCTTGGTTCCAGGTAACCCCAATACTCTCACCGCGCCTCACATTGTCGTGTCACCTCCATGTGCCCCCACTGGCCCATCACCTTGTGCGTTTCCACCTGCCTTCCACCGTGTTCACCCAGGAGAGGCCTCTTGCTGGAAGGCCTGTGGGGAAGCCCTGGGCTGTAACAGCCCACCACGCCCGCCCGCACCTCACACGTGCTGCAACAACCATCTTCCATGCACGCCCTCTCCCCCTTGCCCCCCCCCCACCCCCCTGATGGTGTGGCAGGTGCCCTCCAGTGGGTCGCTGGTGACAGTGGAGTGCCCGCACCGCCTCTACACCCCCCTTGACAAGTTCCTCCGCACTTCACGCTTCCCCCGCCCCCCCTGCTCTCCCCCACGGCCCCCCTCCGCCGTCCCCTGCTCCTCCTGCCCGCTGCCCTTCCTGCACGCGTCCCCCCTCCCCCTGCCCTGGGCGTCCTCCCTGCCCCCTCGCTCCACCACTCAGTACCGCCCACACTCGTGCATGCCTCTCTCACACCACTACGACCCGTCAGCCGTCTGCGGCCTCTCCCTCTCCTCCTCGTCCTCATCCTCGCCCTCCTCCGATGACTCGCCTCACGCCTCCTCCATCACCTCCTCCTCCTCCATCTCCCACTCGCCCTGCCTCTGCCTGTCCCCCTTCTCGTGCTCCTCCTCGCTGTGCCAGTCCCCCCAGCCCTCATTCCGCGCAGAGGACCTCTCCCTGGAAGCCATCGCCTGCAAGCTCAAGCCCATTCGCACGCGCATGCCACCTGGGTTGCCCGGTGTGGGTAATGGGTTGCTAGCTCGAGGGAAGCCGGGGTGGTGCTGAGGCCAGTGCTGCCAGCTCTGGGACCTGGGTCCCTTGACCGCGGCTTGGAGCGTGGGAGCAACATCTACTTGAAGATATAGCGCAGCTGGCTAGGACATGTGTGCCATCATTATGTGGGGCACTAGCATGGCAACACGAGTTGCTGAGAGTAGGGGTAATCACCCACATGCCTGGGTGCCAGCAGGTGCCACCAGTAGAGCTGTGGAATAGTTGTAGTTATGCAGTCCCTGCTGATTTGGCTAATTGAATCTTAGTAGGTGCTTTGTGAGCATGTGGCTGCAACTGACAGCCCTGACTAGCAACAGTTGCTTTGCTCAATGAAACCAAGCTTTGCACTCACAGCAATGGACACTAGCATCACCACCACCATAAACATGAAACTAGCAACATGAACCATCTAACAATGGGTCGCTTGGAGGAGAATCAGAAGCCAAACCACGAGTCCCCCCCACCCCACAACCTACCTCGCCCCCCCGCCTCCCTATCCACTGTCTCTCGGTACACACGTCTCGCCTCCTGCATGCTCGCACTGTTGCGCAGCAGCGCTGCTCTGCGCGTGCCTGCAGGGTGCGTGGACATGAAGTCGCCCCACCCTGCCTTGTCCACCCCCTCCGGTGCCGGTGCTGGTCGTCGCCCCTTGCCGCCACTGCTCGCATGGTCCAGCATCTCGTACACACCTGGGGTTGTGGGGTTGGCCACGGTGCATGGTGGTTGCACCGGGGAGGGATGTGAGAGCCAGGCCCAACGCTTGAATGTGCAATACAGTACGATGGTGGGACATGCGCATGACAGCATGGCATCAGCAGAGCAGAGCAGCACATGTGGCGCAGGCGACAGCAGCACATGGGCATGGCATGGCAGCAGTGGGGTGTGTGCATGGCGTGTGAGTGACTGACCCGGAGCAGCATCGGGGTTGTAACCCGCCTTGGCCATGAGCATGAGCCCTATGCGGTCCGCCTCCAACTCGTGCCTGCCAGCCCCACAAGGGGAAGGGCAGCACGGGGGAGAGAGATGCTGAGGGCGTGCCAGGCAGCACAAGGTGTGGGAGGAGCAATACAGAGAGAGATGCGAGACTCAAGGGTTTAGAATTGAGTGCAGGGATGAGAGCAAAAGGTGGAGCAAGGGAGTGAGCCATGCTTGAGGAGAGGGATACGGCACGATGAACGAGCAAGAAGGGGCAGGAGCGTAGGAGAGAGGCGGAGGGTGTACATGCGGGAGAAGGGCAGGGAGATGAGGAGGTCGGATGCGGTGCGGATGAAGCCCGGCCAGCTGAGCAGGAAGTTGACTATGATCATCTGCACCACCGCCAGCAGCATGGCGCTGCTCATGCGCTCCGCCCCGTGCCGCGCCACTATGTGCGCCACCTGCCCGTGCCAGGGATGGGGGGCAGGGGCGCAGGCGAGGGATCGGGAAGCGGGGTAAGGGGCGAGGGAGGACAAGGGAATGAAACGAGAAGGTGACGGGGAAGGAAGGAGATCATTTAAGACGTGAACACGATGCATCCCCCCATGCATGCCCCAACGCTTCCTCAACGCATGCCCCATGCCCCACACATGTCCCAGTCACGGTGTGTGCATGAGAGAGACCTCATGGCCGATAACAGCGGCGAGCTGGTTGTCATCGGGGCAGCGGTTGAGCAGCCCCGTGAACACCACCACCTTGCCACTCGGCAGACAGAAGGCGTTCAGCACCGGCGCATCCACCACCGCCACCTGCCACGCCGGGCACGGAAGGGCCAGCGCAAGTAGCAACAGCCCAAAGAGAAGCGGAGAGGAGCAGGGCGTGTAAGGAAGGGCATGCTTGGAGGGGTGCAGATGGGCGGGTGTGTGGTGAGAGAGGGCAGCAGCAAACATGATGTGAATCATGTGATGGCAGGAAGAATGATAGGAACAATTAACATGCTCTCGCATGAGTGAGCCATGACTCGTCTGTCACCCACCTGCCATGTAAGCCCCTTCAAGTGCTCCTCAAACGGCCGCCCCTCGCCCCGTACTGCCTGCGCCTGCCTGCACGCATTGCCATGCCCACATGCAGTGGCAGTGGCAGCGGCGGTGGCAGTGGCAGGAGCAAACGCAGAAAGGCATGCGTTGACAGGCACAAGACCATGTGGAGCGAGGGGGTGAGACATGTGTACAGAAGGCGATGTGCATGCATGCATGCATAGTGGCAGGTGTGCCGTGCAGCCTGTGGCACTCACCGCTGCTGCCTGTCCAGCCACTCGCTGTCCTCCAGCAGTGCATCTCCTTGCCCTTCCCCGCCCTCGCCCTCCCCTGATGCTCCCTCCATCCCCCCTTCCCCGCCCCCTGCTTCTCCCCGCCCACAGCACCAGAGGTGGGGGGCGAGGGGGTGGAGATGGGGTGGTGTGCGGGGTGGGTGGAGGAGGGGGAGAGGGGGCAGTACTCGACCTGGGGGGGCTTGCCCTGGGGGAAAGAGGGGAGCGGGGGGTGAAGAGAGGCGAGAGGGGGAGAAGATGATGGGAAGGGAGGAGGAGGGGCAATGTAGTTGCAGCCAGGCGAGGAGACCCATCCACATGCCCACCACTACTTTTGTGTATGGCATGTCACAAGCGGTGTCACACACACACACACGCATGAATCCATGCACACACACACACAGCACCACTATACCGGATCAACGTGCTCCGTGGTGGCCTGGATGATCTTGGTCGCCACGTGGCGCACTCTCAGCGCCTCTGCTGACGTGGACGGCAGCAGACGGTCGCGATGCTGCTCCCTCACCTGGTGCACGGCAAGCCACGGGGGGTGTAGGGATGGGAGGGGGGAAGGAGAAGACACGGAGAGAGGGAGTGGGGGGTGTGCAGTTGACACGAGGGGGCAGGAGGAAAGCACGTGCGGCTGGAGATGGTCATGTGCCCCTCCCTCCCACACCCACACTCACACCCACGCTCTCACGTCCGCTCCCTCAAAAGCTGCCCCTCTGCCTCGTCCCCTCATCACCGCTATCATCCCATCATCTCATCCTCTCCTCGCCTCGTCACACCATCCTCCCTCCCCCTCCACCGCACCTCTTGGAAGGCCTCTTCACCGATGCGTTTCTCCTGGGCCACGGACAGCAGCACCCAGTGCCGGCGCAGCGTGTACGGCACCTCCTGCACGTGACTCAAATACACCCACGCCGCCGTGCCGCCCGCCACCCCCACCGCCACCACAACCACCTCGGGGGACACGCGCCACCCCCCTCCCCCGCCGCCATGCGCGGACTGCCTGGAGGTGGCCTGCGCCAGCCATGCCAGCGCCCCCCGCCGCTGGAAGTGCCGCACGCCGTGCCGGTCCACGTACCACTCCGCCTGCCTTCCCCCCGTCCTCCCCCCGCCCCCGCTGCCGCTTCCGCCAGCGCTGGAGGCGGAGAATTGGCGGGTGGCGCGGGGTATGGAGGGGCGGGAGCTGCTGCTGGAGTTGCTCGCGCTGCCTCCGCCGCCTGCGGCGGGCTGACGGCCGCAGGAATGCGCAAATCTCCGCCACCAGTGATCCGCGCTAGCGTGGGCGAGGGGATCGCGCGGGGTGTGCGCCGCCGGGCTGCCGGCGCTGGTGGCGGCGGTGCGGCGGGAGGCGTCCCTGCTGGTGGGCGCGGCCGATCGGCGCAACGACGAGGCGACGGACCAGGCAGCTCGCCGCATGGTGAGGGGCAGAGGAGGGCGGAGGAGGGAAGGAGTGCGGGGGAGTGCGGAGCAGGCAAGGGAGGGGGGAGGGGGGTGAAGGTGAGTCACGACCAGAAATCGTGGTGGGTGCGAAGGCGCGCTAGCGAGGCTGCGGTCGGGGGAGAGCGTCGAGGCGGGGAGGTCACGTGGGGCGGGAGGTGGGCATGTGCGCAGCGAAGTGATTTTCCTAGCCCAAGGCGCGTTGGATTGAAATTTAGGAGGTTGGGAGGGATGGGAGGAGGGGCAAGGGGTATGAATGTTCGTGCCAGCTGATAGACTCGTTATTGAGACGATTGGTGGACCCTTTAAGAGGAGGGGGCTGGAAGAAAAATATTAAATATCAGATAATTACACTGGAGAATCATGCAGTAACTACTTGCCTACTCTCACCCCAGATACATGCACGCTACAAATACTTTACGGTTGACATAAATGAATAAATGATGTGATTGTCTAAACGAACATTCATTTGTGTGATTATGCTATGGGGTGGTTGATGGTGGAGCGATGGGAGTCAGGTTGGGTGGGTTAGGAGCTCGGGGGGTATGGGAGGAGAGGCAGCAGGGTGCGCAGAACAAGGACGGGCAGTCCAGGTGCATTATGGGAGGGACCATGGGAGCTGTGCAGCTCAGCATGCGTAGCCACCTATGCTCGTGCATGTGGCACATCACAGTGCATGCACGGCACGCCATGAGGAAAAGCACTGTGCACATGATGGTACGGGTGCAGGCGGTGGTGTGCGTGGGCGGGTGAAGATCCCATCACTCTGGCGCTGGCAGTGCCTGGGAGAACGCCTGCATCCATGGGTGGGCTGAACGGCACGCACACAAGGGAGCGGGGGGGGATGTGGGAGCATGGCGTGGAGAATGAGGCCATGGGTGGGCAGGGAGGGGGCCCATGGTCATATGCACGAACCTTGAGTCAGAGACACCACACATGCACACCAAGCACCAAGCAGAGAAGCAGTAGGCAGAGCACAGTGCAACACCTTCTCCTCCCTGCAATTGCATGCTCTGCTCTCAACCCACGCCCTCATATCATTCACCCCTTTCACCTGCCCCCTTCTCCCCCCCCACGCCCGCCCCAGTGCCTCACCCAGAATGCCTTCCGCAGTGATGCGAGCGGTGCGGGAGCGCGTGAGCATGCAGCGCAGCAGGTGCTTCACAGCATCGCTGCGCGTGCGCCACGCATGGGGCTTGAAGCGCAGGTGGCAGGCGAGGATGGCGTGCAGGATGCCCTCCTCGCTCTTGGCCCAGAAGGGCGGCACCCCCGACAGCAGCACGTACAGCACCACGCCCGCGCTCCAGATGTCTGCCTCCTGCCCGTACTGCCCCTCGATCACCTCCGGCGCCATGTAGTAGTGCGACCCCACGAACTCCGTCAGGTCTAAGCCTGGGGGGAGGGGACCAGGGGACGAGGGGGTGGGGGGCGACAGGGACGATGGGATGGAAGGAGGGGCGTGGAAGGAGGGGGTAAGGTGCGTGCTGACGTGCTTGTACCAGACCAGGTGCGAGTGACAGGGGAGGAAGGGTAGATTGCATGGTCACGTGGATACACCGTGTGAGCAAGGCGCGTTGATGATGGTGCAAGGGAGCGAGCGGTGGGCAGGAGGCGCACCAGGTTTGAGGAAGGCAGCGACGCCAAAGTCAATGAGCTTGATGTCGGTGTGGGAGCGCTTGGAGGTGAGCAGGATGTTCTCGGGCTTCACATCGCGGTGCACCACGCCCATGGCGTGGCAGCGCTGCAGCACGCCCACCAGCGTGCGCAGCAGCACCGCCGCCTCGCGCTCGCTGTACGTGCCCACCAGCTTCAAGCGGTCGAACAGCTCGCCCCCGCGACACAGCTCCATTATCAGATGCACCTCCTGGCAGGGGTACCACGGGTTGGGGAGGCAAGGAGGGAAGGTGAGGAGAAGAAGGATGGGGAGCAGGGCGGAGAGGGGAGCAAGGAGACAGACGTGAGAGTTGAAGGCACGCGGGTCGGGCATAGGTTCTCATGCAAAACAGTAAAGTGATGGTGCCATGCCGTGCACGCCCCAGCACCCCAGCACCCCAGCACTCCAGCACCCCAGCACCCCAGCACTCAAGCACTCCAGAGCACACCTGGTGGTCCTCGAAGGCAGCGTGCAGGCGCGCGACGTGAGGGTGGTCCGCCAGCAGCTCCAGAATCGCCACCTCGCGCCTTATGTCGTCCGCGTCCGCCTTGCTCTGATGCCGGGGATGAAGAGGGGGGGAAAGGGGAAGAGGTGGTGGGAGAGAGGGGTGGGAGATGTGTGAGAGAGAAAGGGTGAGGGTGAAAGTGGGTGTATGAGAGCAGTGCGCATGAGAAAGGAACCAGCGGCTAGCAAATGGTTTGATGGATCGGGGAGGGGTGGGAAGTGGGGAGTGCGGGAACGGGCACCTTGAGGCAGCGCTTGCTGATGCTCTTGCAGGCGAACTTCTCCCCGGTCTGCCTGTGCTGGGCCATGCGGATGACCCCGAACTGCCCACTGCCCAGCTGCATGTCCATGTGCACCTCATACGCCTCATGCACGCTCGACAGCCCTCGCCGCAGCACCTCCTTAGTGCCGCTGCGCCCCAGCTTCTGCTTCGCTCGGGGCACCTTTTCCCCCGCCTTCCCACCGCCCTTGCCCTCTGCCTTGCTGCCTGCTTCAGCCTCGCCCTTCCCTGCCTCCGTGCTTGCGCTGCCGCTGCTGCCCAGGGCTGAGGCACCCACTGACTGATGCTCACCCCCCACTCCCTCGCCTGTCCCTGCCACCGCACCTTGGTCATCCGCACTCACCTCCACCGCCTCGTCCGTGCTGCCCTGCACCCACGCCCCACCATCCCCATCACCGCCCTGCACCTCCTCTGACTCCTCATCACCCCCGCCACTGCCATGTGCCGCAGCGCCACCAGCGTCTGCAGCATCAGCGCCAGCGTCCGTGCTTCCGCTGCCGCTGTGCTTGCGGCTCTTCCTCCTGCTGCCCTTGCGCGCAGCAGCTCGCTCCGACCGCATGGCTGTCTGGAAGCCGTCACTGGGCATCTTCTCCAGCCGCCGCTCCCTGCCACTGCCCATCCCCCCCTGCCCGCCCTCCCCCACCCCCCCTCGCTGCTCTGCACTTGCCCTGTCATTTTCAACCCCTGGCACTGCGCCCACCGCACCAGCAAACGGCAACGAGCCGCTCACCCCTTCCCCTTGCTGCCATGCCGCATGCCCTGGGCCGCTCCCTGCCATGCGCGCTGCCCGCTCGCCCTCCTCCCACAGCGCTCCAGCCGGCCCTCCTTCCACGTGCACCATGGCAGGGCTGCCACCAGCACTAGCAGCAGCGGCGGCGGAGGCGGGAGAGGCGGAGGAGGCGGCAGCAAGGAGGTGGGCGAGCAGGGAGGAGGAGGCGGTGATGGCGGCCATGCTGCTGGTAGACCGCACCACCCTGCTCATGCCCACGCCCACGCCCACGCCCTTGCTGCTCGCACCCGCCCCTGCTGCCGTGCTGGGGTGCACGTGCACTGGCGCATGTGCAGAGACGGCAAGGGGCGAGACAGCAGGGTCGTTGTGCTCCACTGCGAGGACACCACTGCCCGTTGCACGCCCGCCCGGCTGCACCCCACGCGCCTCTCCTCCTGACCTCCCTGCCTTGCCACTCTGGGTGGGCTCCACACCCGACTGCCTCTTCCTGTCGCCCCTCTCCTCCTCCTCCTCCTTCACATGTGCCAGCGCGCCCTGTGCCCTGCCCTCTCCCAGCGTGCGCGAGTGAGAGAGCGAGCTGGAGGCAAAGGAGGAAGAGGAAGCAGAGGAGGCAGGCGAGGGGGAGGAGAAGGAGGAGGCGGGGGAGTTGAGGGGAGCGAGCCTTGGAAGAGAGGCAAGGAGACTGGTGGGCACACCGTGGGGGTGGGGCGACGCTGCTCCACCCTGCTGCTGTGAATCCGGTGTGAGCGCATCCACAGGAGAGGCTTCAGCGCTGCCTTCAACACTGCTGTCCGTGCACGCAGGGGCGCTGTCTTGAGGTGTGGGAGCAGCAGCAGCAGCAGCAGCAGCAGGAGCAGCATGGTCCACGTCCCAGAGCACCTCGCTGAGCTTATGCATGCCCACGCTCATGCTGCCCCCCACTGCGCGCACCAGCCTCACTCGCCCCACCGCCCCTGCCTGCCCTGCTGTCGCCGGCACTGCTTCAGCCGACAGGGAGAAGGGCACAGGAGAACCAGCGCCGCCATGACCCCGCGTGCCCCTGCCCGTGCCCGCACTCGCTGCTCCTGCCTGGCCTGCCCCTGCTGTGTGCTGTGCCTTCACTGCCTGTGCGGCCAGTGCTGCGTGTGCAGCGTGTGCTGCCTGTGCAGCTGCCAGCCCCGGAGCCAGAGACGTCCACCTCGCCAGCCCGTGCCCCGCCAGCTGCTGCTGCTGCTGCGCCCCTCGCTGCATCTGCCGCTGCGCTTCCAACGCCCACGCCCTCTCCTTCTCCCCTTCCTCCTCACTCTCCTCCCTCACCCCCTCCGCCTCTGCCTCCCCACCCACCCTTCCCCTGTCCCGTTGCCCGGACGTCCCCCCCACCCAGCTGCGGGTGCGGGCATGCTGCTGCGCCTGCCTGCCCCTCTCGCGCTCCCACTCGCTCTCCAGGTCGCTCCGCTCCTCCGCCCCTCCGTGCATCGCCACACGCGCGCCCTTGCCACCACCGCGCGTGCCACTTGCCTTACCCGTGCCCCACATCCCCTTCTCCATCGCTTCTCCTGGAAACTCCCCCACCCCCCCCATCCCCGCCCACACGCCCCCACTCTCCTGGGTGGCGGGCCATTGCCCCCCCCCGCGCTCCCCCGTGTGCACCCAGTGCGCCAGGTCCATGTCCCCCCCACGCAGGTGCGCGCCCATGCTCACCGCCTCACTCACCCCCCGCCTCAGCCTGCCCGCCTTGCCCCCTGCGCCCACTCCCCCTGACCCCACCCCGCCATTGCCTGCTTCCCACGGTGCAGCAGCAGCAGCGCGGGCAGGGGGGGAAGCAGGGCTGGAGGGCGCAGGGAACAAGTGGCCGTGCTCGCCTACGCTGCCCCTTCGCCCCCTGCCTGCCTTGCTGCCATGGCCGTCCAGCAGCTCAGTGCGGTGCCGCCGGTGCTGCTGCTTCTCTGCCGCCCCCGCCTTGCCTGCACTGCTCGCCCTCTCCCGCCTGCCCGCCTTGCCTGCTGCCTGCTCCCCCTCGCCTTCCAGGGAACCTGCTGGGATACCAACGTCCTCAGCACTGCCCCCCCGCTTGCTGCCCTCCCTCCTCTGCTTCCCCACCGGCCCTACCACCCTGCTGCCACCACTGCCCGCGTCGTCCCCTGCCACTGCGCCAATACCATCCACGCTCTTCCCCTTCCTCCGCACCTTCTTCTTCCCCTCTTTCTTCCCCTCCGTCCTTTCATCCCGCGCACCCTCCTCATCTGCACATGCATGCCCCACCCACTCGACCTCACCCGCCACTCCTTGCCATGTCACTTCCCCCCTGTCAACGCCAGCCCCCACCACATCCCCTGCCCCGCCCGCCTCATGCAGCCTCCCATTCGCCTCCTCCCTCTCCGTCCCTCTCCCCACCGCCCACGTCTCCCCATGCCCCTCTCCCTCCACCGCCCCCTCGCCGTACAGGTCCTGCTCCACGGCTCTGCCCGCACCGCCTGCCGGCCACGCACGGGGCGGCAGGAAGGGCGGCGAGGAGGAGGAGGAGGCGGCAGCCACGAGGCGAGTGAGTTCTGCCGCGCCCAGGCTCCTGCCCGCGCGCCCCAGCCGGCTGCTCCTCCTGCTCGCCGCACTGACCGGATGGGTGGGGCTGGCAGCGCGAGCGGGCACGGCTGGTGGCCGCAGGGGACTGGTCTTGCTGCGTGCCTCCCCAGCAGGGTCCGTGAGAGTGCTGTGACTGTCGCCCTGCTGCTCGCGTGCAGGGCTGCGTTGCGTGGTGGCGGCAGCAGCGAGATGGTGAGGGGTGAAGGGCGGCGAGGAGGGGAAGGCCATGCTCTTGGTGCGGCGGGATGGCCCCAGCCCTGACTTGCCTCGCCCCCCACTGGCCCCCACTCCCTCACTCGCTGCTCCTCCTGCTCCTCCTGCCACTGCTGCTACTGCTCGATCCAGCCCGTGACCCGGCACTGCAGCAGCACCGCCCTTGAACCATGCTCCCTCGCCCTCCTCCCCGCTCCCCTCGCCCTCCCTGGCTGCCAGCAGCCGTGCCTCCATGCCATTTTCCACCACCACTGACTTGTGCCTTGCACCCGCTCCCCCCTGCTCGCCCACCTGCTGCTGCTGCTGCTGCTGCTGCTGCTGCAGTAAGCGCCGGCGCGCAGGGGCGTGGAGGGAGGAGGGCGGGTGGGGCAGCGGGGGAATGAGATTGGAAGGAGAGGCGGAGCGGGAGTTGGGGGGCGAAGGGGACATGGAGGGCGGCAGGAGGTGCAGGTTGGGAGGGAGGCTGCCCTGCCTGTGGTGCCGAGTCAGCTGTGTGGGTGGTGGGGATTGCCGCACGGGGGAAGCACCACCTGCACCACGCGCACCGCACAGCACCGCATCCCCATACTCGCCCTGCACTCCCTCCTCCTCCTCCCCGCACTGCTCCGCCTCGCCCTGCCCAACCCTGCCCTTTCCCCCCACTGCACTCCCCCCTGACCCCGACCGCGCATGCCTATGCTCTGCGCGCCAATCACCCTTGTGCTGCCGCCCCCCCACAGCACCTTCGGGCGCGCCCCCTGCGCCAGGGGGAGCGGCGGGCCTGGGGAAGCCCCCCAGGGAGCCCTCGTCAATGCTGGACACGGACGCTGACCGCCCATGCCTCCCTGCGCGCCTGCTGCCGCCCTCGCCCGCGCCCGCGCCCGCCCTGCCCCCCTTGCCCGTCAACGCAGGCGGTTTGGGCAGCCCGCCGTGGGCGTGCGCGCCCCCATGCCCCCCACCGCCACCCCCACCGCCACCACCCCCACCGCCACCCCCACCGCCACCACCGCCCTCGCCCACCCCGTGGCCGTGCCCCCGCGGCCCCTCACGTCCCCCGTCCGCGCCCAACCCATGTGCAGCGCGCACCGGGCTGACCCGCGCTGTGGGCGCTGGTGGGGACGAGGGGGCGGCGGCGGGCCTGAGGTGGGGCGCAGAGGGGCGCGGGGGCGAGGGCGGCGCCGCGTACAGGTCGCCAAAGGCGTGCGCCTCCAGACTCATGCCGCGGGACAGGCGGAGGGGCGCGCGGGTGCGGATGGGGATGGGCGCAACAGCCGCCAACGCTACTCCGCCTCGCCCTGCTGCGCCATGCTCCTCCTCCACCTCTTCCGCCCCTGCACCGTGCGCGTCGCCCCACGCCCCCGTTCTTTGCTGCTGCTGCTGCAGGTGGCGTGCGAGAGAGGCACCCAGGGACACAGCATGCGACAGGGGGCGCCCCGCATGCGCACCTCCGCCCCTTTCGTCCCACATCCCCGCCCGTCCCCCATCCGCCCACCCTTGCCGCTCCGTCGTCATCTCCTCCGCCTCCACCTGCCCGCTCTCCTCCGCCTCCTCCTGCTCTCCCGCCCATACATTCGCCGCCCCCCATGTGCCCTCCGCGCCCCTCTCCTCCGCCGCGTCCGCGCTGAGCTTGCGCCCTCGCCTTCGAGCGCCCACTTCTGCGCCCTCTGCGCCTCGCTGCTTCCCTGTCGCGGATTCCTGCTCGCCCCGCGCATCCGCGCTGTACCCCTTTCCGCCTGCTGGCGGGCAGAGCGAAGAAACGGGGAGGCGAGGGGAAGCAGCGGAAGGGCAGTCGACGGATTAGGGAAGGGATAAGGGGCCGAAGGATTAGGGGGATGGGGGGTCGTGTTGAAGAATGTATTGGATATGCGCACAGTTGGAGGCATCAGCGCAGTGACGCGGAACAGCAAGCGAGTACCAGCGGAACTGGTCGCGCTGCCCTTGCTCCGTTCGTGCCGCTCGCCGGCTCTCCGATCGTCCCGCGCCGACGCGCACTCCTCGCGCATCTCGCGCGACTTGGCTCGTCGCCTGCGCGCCTTGGGACTGCCATGCTCCTCCATCGATAGGCTACTCGCGTCCTGTGACAATAACGGGCGGATTAAGGAAGCTGGGCTGTCCACTGGTGGTTCGGTATCTGGTACGACCTGGCTGCTAAAGGCCGCGCGTCGAAGAATAGCCATCCGCGCCTTGCCCGCCGCACGCGCCCGGCCCTGCGGAACCTGGAGCCTCTCCGCGGTGTATACACCCGAGCATCAGGGGGGCGCAAGTGGCGTTTCAGTTCAGTCAGGAACCCCAAAAGGCCATCAGCTCGACTGACGTGGTTGGTGAGGCCGGGTTCTGTTTCTATTCTCGGGCGAGTTTCACGCTACTGTTCTATATGGCGACCAGACCAGCAAATTCATTGCCGTTGGGGGCACTTCTGCTTGTGCAACCACTGTTGTGCGAGGCGGTGCTGCGACGTGCATCGCACCTCAGGCCATCCGCTGTCGCTGCCAATGCGGTTTTAGTGCTAGAGTGGTAATGGAACTCCACGAGATTTGACGAAAAAACAAATGGGCGAGGCGAAAGTCACAGAAACAATACACGAAACGCGCAAAAAAGGCTGGCATTGGGAAGAGTGTGGAGGCATAAGGCGCAATATCGCATCAGATTGTACTCTCTATGTGAACGCTCGATTCGAACATTACCGCTGGGTTGGAATGGCAAGCAAACGAACACATTAGAACTTCTTGAATTGAATATCTGAACTTGAAAGGCATGGGTTCAACATCTGTGCAGATCTTAAGTGGCCTTGAATCCAAGTACACTATAAGCGTCTAGGACCAAATTTGTGGAGTACTATGCAAACAAAGCAGCACCATCATAAACCTGTACAAAACAAAGAAACCTGTGAAGCATTTCCCTACTTCCTTCCTGTCCTTGCGGGCAGCACGGATCTGTGTTGCGCACGAATGTGACACAAACTACCGGTAGTCTTGTGGAGCTGTGACACAATGAACAAGTGAATAAAAGATACTACCTGCTATGACCTCTTGGCCACATTGCTCCCCTGCTCCGGCTGTGGGCCAGGGGCAGGGGGGAGGCGGGTGGAGGGCGTGAGGGGGAAGGCGGTGACAGGGGAGGAGTGGGAGTAGGGGCGGATCTGCGAGGTGTAGTAGAAGTAGCCAGAGATGGAGAGGCCCACGGCCAGCATGGACAGCAGCACCGCGTTCTCGCGTCTCTCCTGCTTGCGCTTCTCCACCATGCGCGCTGCCACCGACTCCGATGCCGCAGGCTTCGCTGCTCCACACGGGTGACTCTGGCGACGGACGGGTGGGGTGCGGAGCGTAACTTTTCGATTACGAAAAACAAAGAGACTGGAAAGAGCGAATAGCGGGTCTTAATACACCATGTTAACCGTCAGCCCACCCCCTCTCGCCGGCGCTGCTATAACAAGCCATGCGGACGATGGTGATGGAAAGATGGCCCTCGCCGTTTCCGCACATGCATACCCGTGTAGCATGCGTGCGCTCTGCTCGCGCGCGGGCGTGTTTGAGAGTTATGATAGAGGGGGTAAGGGGAGGAGAGCATGTGCCTGGAGAGAAGACACGGAGGTATGACATACCTGATGCAGCGGGCGAGCACCACCGAAGGGAGGGCGCCCGCCAGGTGCGGAGTGTGGGGGAGTCGGGCTACATAGCGACGGGAACGGTGCTTGACGGACTCCGCGGGCGTGGAGGAATGCTCGGCGGAAAGCAACAGACATGGCGCCTGGACAGGAGGGACCGGTTTCAGGCAACGAGAAGCGGCCGAAACGCGAGGATCGAAGAAAGGCGCGGAGGGTTTGGAAGAACGGAGTGGTGGCGATTTTGGCGTTGTTCTGCAGGCACCCGATGCCGTCGGAAGAATGTGCCGCGATGCTGCCAAAGCGTTGACATTTTGGGGGGCAGCCCAAAAAATTGCGTCAAGCCTGACGATGCCGTATGAACCAAAATGGCATGGCATTGGCTGCAGAACATGACTTCGGGCGATGACATCTGAAAGGTTCGAAACCTCCCTGCATTTTCCCTCTCAGGCAAATTGTCGTGCCTGTGCCACCCCATGGCCAACCCCCCAAGAGAGGTGGTTGGCCACGCGATGGCAGAGGGATTGGCCCCCAATCAGCCCGTGAGAGAAACTGGGCGGAACATGCCAGTCTCGGGAACCTGGGCCCTGTTCTGTTGGCGCACAACCAAATCGGGCCTCCCGCACAAGCACTGCGGAACGTGTTTTCCTCGAACGGGAGAACCACCCCGCGGCCTCTGCGAAGTTTGGCGCTACAGACAAAGCAGACCTTTTTTTTTTACCCACTCGCCAAGGCTACCCAGGATGCTCAACAAATTTGTATCTAAGCCACTCACAAACTTTCGGCCGTGTGGTTTACCCTCGCCTCTCGTCATGTTCAATTTGTTTTCGAGTAAAACCTCTCCGATATGTCCCGAGAACGGGCGATGATCACTGCCCGTTATTGTTTATGCGCCCCCTTATTCCTAGGAGATGGGCGCATAGGGTTCGCACCAGCTGTTTGACCATTTTGCCCGAGAGGCAGGCTTCGTAGTAACTTCTGGGCGCACAAGCTGTTTTACGTTCTATTACGCGTTGGCGCACAGCTTATGCTCTCAGGTTCGGGACACAATAGCGAGTTGCGAGGCTAGGGGTGGGCTTTAAGCCTAGTCAAGTGGGTTCCTAGAATGTTCTTCGTGAGGGCTCAGCACCCCAAATGCGCCAACAGAACAGGGCCCTGCTTTCCGGGGCCGAAATGCGAAATTTCTCTTTGGGGGGGGAGGTTAGGTCGACCCTGGAAATTTCATCGGAAAAAGCACTCGATGCTGCTGCCATGCCGACGCCACCTGCCTGCAGAACAACGCCTTTGTGTTGAATCACTGGAGATGACGACGAAGCTATTCGAGGGCGATTGTGCTGGGCATGCAGGAGACTTGAAGATTCCGCAAGTGATGCAATGGAACCCAGCTCGGATATTAGCAGAACGCGACAGTGTGCTTAGCTGAAAGTGATTCAAGATATATGTAGATAAACGAGTAATATATTCTCAGTAACGACTGAGAATGTATGCACTACTATAGTGTAATAACATTCACCTAAAAATAAAAGTAATATATCTGCAAAGGTAAATTAGGCATTCAAAAATCGCTCCCACAAAAAAGAGTTCCCTGCCAACAGACAGGAAAGGTGGAAAACATTATACCGTAGCTTTCCACTTGACCTTCCTGTACTATATTTAGCATTTGTGTACCTTGTAACGATTTCGCATCACTGCACAATGTACAATAGCGTATAACAATATAGTACAAGGCTAGTAGCGCTTTTTTGCGCACATGCCAGAAGTGCTCAGGCATAGCCAGAAGCCATCCGTAGAGAATATGTAGCCCACAAAGCTGGAGCTGGGACGAGAATCCCTGGAGCTTGTGGTGACTCAGCGGAGCAGTCGTCTGAGGGGCCATGTCGCCACATGCTTCAGCCGACTCAGCTCTGCCATCCCAGCCAGACTCAGCTTCGCCTGCTGCCCTAGAGTGTGCGGAGGGTTGTGCCCTAGGGACTGCTTCACACGTGACGTTACGTAGGGAGGTGACCCGCCCAACTTGCGGTTCATGCTGATATAAGATGAACCAGATATGTCATATAGATCGTGCGACAACGACGATGTGCTATTGTTACTCCCGTTCCACCTTTGGCCAACCAGGTCGTGCCACGTCAGTCCAGTGAAATTTTGCGCGCGGGGTGTCGGATCCGTGAGGATTCGTCTCGCCTGCTCGGTTGACAGAACGCCTGCAGGGAAAAGACAATGGGGGAGACCAGGTAAGGCACGTTACGATCGCCGCGCTCGTCCCGATGGCTGCTCAGTCCCCAGTGGTTCTGCGGAAAAATTCCTCGGACCTAATGAACACGAACGGACAGCGGGGCGGGTGGCGGATGGCGGACGTACCTTGGACTATGGTGAGCACGAGGAACAGCACGAGCAGCAGGATTATCAGCGGCATCATCACCGCAGCCTCTCCGCTCGCCTTCCGCCGCCCGCCCATGAGACGGCTCAACCGACTGGCGCCGCCTGCGGACGCCTTTCTTGACTCGCCCCCTCGCGAGCCTCTGCTTGCCGCCTTGCTGCCGTGCCGCGGAGGACGAGGGGGTTTGGCGGAAAACAAATGGGGGACACCAGGCGCAGCGAGGGGCGGGGGGTAGGCGTTACGAGGGATGTCGGCACCGCCACGGGAAGCTGCTGTGGTACTCTGCTGCGTGGGACTAGACGAGGGTTCCCTGCTCGCACTGGATGCGCCATTCTGCGGGTCACACCGTGCGTGCTGCCCCTGAGAGTACGGTGAGGCCATCGCGGTGTACACGTGGTGCGATGCCGAGGTGCGATCGGAACTGCAGCGCTGGCGGTTGGAGGCAGGACCGGGGGAAGCGACCTTTCTACGCTCACGGGTAGGGCTGATGCTCCGCTGCGCCGGCTGCTTCAGCACCTCCGCTTCCCCCGGCTGCTGTCCCCCACACCAGCTGACGCCCAGAAGGGCCGGCAGCTGTTCTTCCTCCGTGTACCTGGAAGCTCCGCCATCTACCCTGTCATCCACGCCCGCTGCTGCCACGAACGGCGCCTCCTTGCGCGCCGATGTGGCTGCGGCGTAGGTGATATCATCGGGAGAAACAGCCCCGCGCGCGTCGGCGCGGGGACTGGGCGGGAAGCTCCATGCTTGGAAGAGGTGCGGATGGATGGCGGCGCTGGTGGTGGAGAGCAGAATGGACGCAACGGACGACGAGATGTCGTGCGACAGCGCCGCGAATGTCGCTAGCGAAGCCGTGCCAGACGCCAAGTTGTGAGACTGCAAGTCACACGGCTCAACCTTAGTGGAGCCTGTTAGAATCGGTCCGGCCTGGTATGGATCCATGCTGTAAAGTCCCGCTGAAGGCGAGGCACTTTATGCAAGCATACGGGATCAAAGTGCTTGGACTGGTCTTGAACAACCTGTGAGTTGAAGCTCTGGCTCGAAAGTCGTGACACACTACGTACTGTGCGTGATTGTGCAATTCAGCATTTGGGGAGGTTTTGAAGAGGTGTGTGATATTTTCGGCGGAAGGGGGACTGCATGGGTGCCCTCAACAACAGCACACCCTGGGGTTCTCGACTCGGCTCACCGCCATCACCACCATAACAGTGACCAACCCCATGACCAGATGCGCCTCGGTTATTTCCACGAATGCCTGCCCAGTGCCCACACCAGACCACCTGTGAAGGCGACCCGGATGATGGAGCACTTCCATCCAATGAGAAAGCAATCTGCATCCATCTCCCCACATGGTTTCCTGATTTACAACAGCGACTCGAACCTTGCCCCCAGGTGCGGGGATTGCATGACGGAAAAGTAGAAAGTCCAAACCCACCTGGCTCAGGGGTCGGCGGCATGGCAAGTTCTGGGGTGCAATGTTGCTGAGTGGGCAGCAGTGTGAAGATCAGCAAATCTACTGTGCTAGCATGCGCTTCGGCTGTTCAGGTGCGCTCTCCTGAAAAACTGTGGAACCGCTGGTATCAACTCACGGTTATAAGGACATGTCACACAGTAAGAACTTACACTTATCACCTATACATATTTCTTAAATGCTTAGGGATCAAGACTATTCGTGCTATACATGAAAAATCACTTGTCCTAACAGTCAAGTTTCGCAAACATAAATGCAATCAAATCCTTGAGTTTTTGGTGTGTAAATTCTCATATGTACGTGATAGTTAAAAACCTTCTGTTAAAAATGTTTGTGAACGGGCCAACTTACTCGAATATGGTAGGAAATTGTCATAATATGGGCGTGCCTCACGAGTCCTATTTTGTGCGTTTAAAAGCGGTTTTCTTGCTTCACCCCCACACACACGCCCTAACCCCCCACGTTCAAAATTTTATACTGGTTTCCCGCTGTTCTCGTTCCCTTTATGTGCAGTCACACTAGCGAGTCACTGGGAATTCTCCGAACCTAGACTTTGTCAGACTGGCCTTATCTGCTGCTACTCTCCCGCCTCCCGAATCACCTCACATCCCGCAAAAATCGCCAAGCCGCCATCGCTTTGGCCAATTGCCTGTGAGACCGCCTGTCCCCCACCTCCACCCTCTCACCACACCACACCTGCCCTCGCTCCACCTTCGCTGATCTCAACGCAGCTAACCTCGAACCACTAGAAATTCGAAACAGACCTTCCTTATTTCACCGCCTGCGGCTTCTCTCCATCCATCTCTGTCCATTCCACCTCGCCTCACCATTCACATTCAGCCTTCACCTCACCACATCCCCTCATCTCCTCCTCGTCAACCATGCTCCGTTCCTTCACTGGCAGGCGGCTCTCTGCCGCCCGGTCCGTAGCGGATCGTCTATTTCGACCATTAGCTGCGGCCTCCGCGGCAGCAGATGGAGGTGCCGTGCCGCTCAGCCAGTCCGGCGTCACTCCCGTTGGCCAGATCCCCGCGGCTTTCTCCTTCGGATCGGTCCGAGCGTTTTACGGGAGCACTGTGGCGCCAACGGTGTACGACGTGGGGCACTCGACGAACATCAAGTGGCACGAGGCGAAAGTCAGCAAGGACGAGAGGTAAGCTGCCCATCGCCTGGTGGGGCCTTTGTTTGGAGTCACTGAATCGGGTTTGACTTGAGTTGTTAACCAAGTTGTCCGAATCACGATCGAGCACAATATGGCGACTGGAGCCTGGAGATTAAGGGTTTTGCGCATTAACGAATGGTGCATGACGGTTCGCGAAGCTGATGTTTGACGTGTTGCTGTTCCGTGGCGTGCGTTCGTGCGGCATTGCACGACGCGTTGATGGGCCGTTCACCTCATCGTCGTGTCTAACGGTTGTCGCCTCGCCCTTGCCGTGCCGTGCGATGCTTCGAATGACAGGCAGCGCCTTCTAGGGCAGCGCGGGTGCGTGATTTGGATGACGGGGCTGAGCGGCTCGGGCAAGAGCACCCTGGCGTACACGCTGGAGCACGCGCTGATGGAGCGAGGGCGAATCACCGTCGTGCTGGACGGCGATAACGTGCGACATGGGCTCAACAAGAACCTCGGTTTCAGGTCTGACTGCTGCGATCGCCCAGTACAGTAGATACTTAGGCGTTCCGCGGTCTATATGTTATCGGTTCCACCTTTATACCCTTGTTTTTTGCTAGTGTCTGTTTTACATTTCTCTCCTGTTTCATGTCATTCTTTTATCGCATCTACTACCATCCCTCGCTGAGGCGTTCTTTTCTTGCCGTGCTGCCTGTCGTTCTTACCAGCGCGGCGGATCGTGAGGAGAACATTCGCCGAGTTGGCGAGGTGTCTAAGCTTTTTGCCGATGCTGGTATCATCACCATCGTCAGCTTCATTTCGCCCTACACGTGAGTCGTTCTCGCCCTGATTCCATGCTTAGGTTAATGCGATAATCACGTTTTGCTTGATAATTTATATCCGTTTTCTACCAGGTTATTGTCCTTCTCGTCTTCGGATCATGTCCTTTTCATTATTGAACCCACTCGTCTCTCCCTTTTGCGTCTTTCGTTCCCCCTCCCCCGCCATTATTGCGCGCTGTCCCCCGCTGGCTTACGGCTGGCAGTAAGGACCGACAGGCAGCGCGGGCACTGGTGGAGGCAGGCGAGTTCATCGAGGTGTACATGAAGATCCCGCTCTCGGTGTGCGAGGAGCGCGACCCCAAGGGCCTCTACAAGAAGGCGCGATCGGGCCAACTCAAGGGCTTCACTGGTGAGATTCAGTGCCAGGTGGGGTCGGAGAAATGCAATGTTTGGGGGAGAACTGGCCATGACATAAGTGGGATCAACGGATGGTGATGGGCGCTGGCTAGTTACCACAATGCATCCTGTAATCGTCCGCTGAATCTTCAGACGCTAATACATTGTGGCGTGTATGTATGTGGACAGGCATTGATGACCCCTATGAAGAGCCTGAAGCAGCTGAAGTGGTTATTGAGGTGGCAAAGGAAGATGGGGTGCTGCAGCCACCAGAGAAGATGGCTGCTGACCTCATTGAGTACTTAGACAAGAAGGGCATTCTTTCTGGTCCTAAATGACATGTCTGACATTTCTTAAAGCTTCTCACACTGGTTTATTGTTTTCCCTTATTGAGTACCAACATTTGTGCTATTATGAGCTGTAAATGAATAGAGTGCGGGGAAGTCAATAGCGAGGTTGTGACGGAATTCTGTTATGGACCAGTTAGGGCGCGCAACATTCGTGTCCAAAGCAGCCTTGTGAACAGGGTGTTCAAGAAATCACATCGGTTTAAAACAGTAAGACTGACTTTGAAAAACGTTTACGATGGCGCAGTGCGGTAGACTTGAACGTTTCGGTCTGAACAGTCGTTTAACAACAATGTACCGCGCCCTTACTAAAATCGTTCTGAAATACAATTGAACAGTCAAGGGTTCCGCTTCGTGAACAAGAACAGGTTGGGGGGGGGGGGGGGTCTGGTTCGGGTTGTGGTGAAAGGTCAAGACTCAAAACCACGCTTGCTGGTTCGCCGGGCATCACGGCGCTTGGTGCTCCAACTTACAAACAACATTCACCAATACCTGTACGTGTTTCGGTTGCGCTTCAAGCGTTCGCACGTCACCATCCTGAGCGAAAAAGTTCCGCTCTTCCTTGATTCAAGTAGTTTAAAGTTCTAAGCTGCCCCCAAAATTGAGGCACCTTGGGGTAGAGCTACTCTCAGCCAGCGAAAGAAACATCACCTGCTCTGCTTGGTCTGCTAAGAGCATTAGATCGAAAAGGCAGCACATTCCTCGGGGACTCGATGGCGAACCTCAATCTTAAAATAAATCATGAAGACGGTAATTATCCGGCTTATTCGGGTATTTACCTGTAAAAATTATTGAGAAACGTGCTTCGGGTCGCCAAAACAACCGAGACGCGCATTTGCACACTGTGCAAATGCCCTTGTGCTGCGCTTGGGACCACCACCACCACACTTCGCTTCTGTTCTGTCGAACCAAACACCAACGCCCCTGCTATTTTAGCTTATCAAATGTGAATTCAAGTCAGCACATGGACAGCTTGCAGTTCATCGTACCTTGCCTTTCCCGCTTCCCACTAATGGCTCCTGGCCGCATCTCCTTCGTTCCTAGACTACCGACAGTCATGATTCTTCTGGCCCTCTTCATATCTCTCCTAGCCCGTACTTCCGACGCACAGGGATACTCTGCTGGTCCTGTCGTCCGCCATACTAGATCGGTCGATACCCCAGGAGGCCAGGCTGGAGCCGACATTGTGGTGGCGAAGGATGGCAGCGGCGACTTTACCACAGTTCAGGTGAAGAAAATGTCAATCTTGTGCGATTTCATGCCTTCCTTCCGCAATTATTTTTTTTGTTAAAGGACTCGTTGCACAAGTGCCCAAAGTTTCTCGCGTCTGAAGTACAGAGCTTTCTCATAAACGGTCCATCACACGCTTACGCTGAATCAGAATTCGCTCTCAAATGCATTCGCATTGATCTTAATCCTTCTCTCCAGGCCGCGCTTGACGCCGTACGTCCTGGCACGCCGTCCCGCTGGAGTGTGATTTATATTGAGAGCGGCGTGTACTGGGAGCGCGTCGTGGTGAGTACATTGTCTCACGCTCGTGACCATTCCCAGCGAGCGTATCAGGAAACGACTCTCAGGCTAAATTGCTAAACCCTAGGCATTTTGGTTGATATCTGCCCGCGCATTTCCTTACTGATGAGTGACACATAAGAGAGTTATCACGCATACCGCCGCGCTGAATCTTATCTACATCTTGCGCAGATGAATGAGTCTTTGCACCACGTCATGCTGGTGGGGGCCAACGGCCGCAAGGGAGATCGTGCCAAGATCACGTTCGCAAAAACCATGCCTTCAGGAGGGGGACTGGATGACAGCGCGACGTTTCGACTGCTGGCAAACGATGTGGTGGTGTGGAATGTCGTCTTCGAAAATGCCTACGGACCCGGCGACATGGGAGGGTGAGCTGAGACTTCTATTTGCGTATGCGTGTGTGCTAAGGGGAGTCATGTTTTCCTGCATTAGCAAATGAAAGATAATATGCTTTCAGCTGTCTCGTTGTCTTCCTTGTGCTCGCCCTGATCGCGAATCTTCTCTGTCGCTGCCGCTGTGCAATACAACCACCATGCACGTTCGCCGTGGCTGCTCTTTCAGGAGGGCGGAGCAGGCACTGGCGATCCAAGTGGAGGGCACGCGCGTCGCCTTCTTCCAATGCACGTTCCTCGGATACCAGGTGCGACCGCGTAAACGACACGAAAAAAAATTCACCGCCGCGGAGTCATCTCCGTCGCTTCTTGCAGCCGTCCGCTCGCGCAATTCAATTTGAGCTTGTCTGTACCTCAACTATCCGTCTGCCCTCGTGCATATGCCGTTCCTCTATTTTCCCCGTTACCCGCACTGACCTTACCGATCCATCGCAATCCCGTGACGACCCCTCCACAGGATACCCTATATGCGGCCAACGGTCTGCAATACTACCGCAGCTGCAGTAAGTTGGCGTGTCCACCGTGGATCTTCCCCCGCCCCCTGCACCTCCACCTCTCCTTCCTGCTGCTGTCCTTGTTATCCTCTGCTTTCAATCGTCCCTACCTCATTTTGCCTGACCCTCGACTGTCGCCTGCTCCCTTGTTGACGCGTGGCAGCAATCTTCGGGCGCATGGATTTCGTGTTCGGCAATGCCAAGGCGGTGTTCGACCAGTGCCGCTTCCGCCTCGTCTACTGGGGCGGCGCGTACTTCGCGCAGGCCAGGGAGCAAGGGGAGGACACTGGCTTCGTCGTCTGGGGCGGCTCGCTCTCCCCATACGGAAAGGGCCCCATTCGCCCCGGCTACCTGGCGCGCGCATGGGGGGCGTACTCCACAGTGGTGTTCGTGAAAACCTACTTCGATGTTGGGTCGGTTCGAGAGGAGGGTTGGAGCTACGTGGGTGGCTACAGTAACACACAGAACGTTATTTTTGGTGCGTACAAGTGTTACGGCCCCGGTTACAACTCGAGCCTGTGGGAGCACAACGGCAGGGAGATGAGCGCGGCGGAGGCGGCGCCGTACATGTCGCCGGATTACGTGAACAAGGACAAGTGGATCCCTTACGACCCCATCAACCTCATGCCCGCCGCTGGCAGCACCGCCGTGGGCGGCGTGGGAGCGGCGCGCGATCCCAATTCACCCGTGCAGTCCATCGGCGCGCATGGACAGCGGCAAGCTCGCGGAACCGGTTCAGCGGGACGAGGCAGCAGCAGCGGGGGAACGTCCCGTGGTCACTCCCCGTCGCCCTCGCCTGTTCACAGCTCTGGTGGCACGGCCAAAGGCCACCGCTCTCCCAGGAACGCCACCACTGGCACTGGCACGCACGGTTCCAGTGGCAGCAGCGGAAGTAGGGGCAGCAGCAGCAGTGGAAGCAGGAGCAGCAGCAGCAGTGGAAGCAGGAGCAGCAGCAGTGGGAGCAGGAGCAGCAGCAGTGGAAGCAGGAGCACCAGCAGTGGGAGCAGGAGCAGCAGCAGTGGGAGCAGGAGCAGCAGCAGCAGTGGAAGCAGGAGCAGCAGCAGCAGTGGAAGCAGGAGCAGCAGCAGCAGCAGCGGAAGCAGCAGCAGCAGTGGAAGCAGGAGCAGCAGTGGAAGCAGGAGCAGCAACGGGCAGGGCAGCGGGGGTGGGAACGGCAGCAAGAGCAGCGGGAAGGCCACCAGTGGGAGACCCTAAGAGTGGGTAGGACAATGGGAAGGCCGCCTCCTCTGCATGATCCAGGCTTTCGTGGACTTGCCGATAATTCGTAAAATCTGGTGACAGACGATAATAAAATCGGGTTTGGCACTAGGCCAGCCAAGGTGACTGCTTCCAATTGGATGCATGCATGCACATGTTCTAGAGGCGCCAAGCTCAAACCCCATCTAGATGTCTTAGCAAAAGGTTCATTCTCCTTAACGCAGTTGTACAACATAGATTCCTTGAAGGAATGAAGTGACTTCGCTATTGGCATGCTGGACTGACGTGGGAGCACTTGGTGCCACACTTCACCAAACATGCACATTGAGGGAAGGTCAGGTCATGTCTTCTTTTTGTAGGGTATGGTACAGTCAAGTCAACCACGCTTAGTAAGAGCGGTTTTGGCTTTCCAGTCATAACTATTGACCGAACATAACCACCCAGAGCAATAGATTATCTGTTAGATGCTAAACTTGAATCCTAAGCAGCACTTGCAACTCCGTGGTACCAATCCAATACTTCCTTCCTGTATGCGTTCCCAAACCTGCTCCTCCCAAGTGTGAACATTCTCTACAAAGCGAGTTGATGAACCTATTTCCATGAATCCACATTTTCTCCAGCTTCCACATGATACTCAGGTTGCTGAGGTACAAGAAGATAAAATCGCTACTGTACGAGAAAAGGGCTGTACTAGCTTCTGTGTATACGCTGCAAAAATGCTGATATGCTTGAAGAGTAAACAACCACCTTGGTATGCTGTGTGAGAGCTGCAATGCTGTCTAGGCAACACTACCTAAGGGCATGACAGGGAAGAAAGCCCTTGTCATTGTGTATGTAGGCCTTGCCTGTGTAAGTGCCTCTTCATCTGCGCCGCCATCCATCACCCCCAGTACTGAAGTTGTCTCTGCACACTCTACACTTCGCATTCCCCTCCTTTTCCACGAAACCTTGGCACCTCATCCGAACAGCTTTTTGACAAGTTTTTTCACCCTCCCTTTCTTCTCTGGGGCTGTCCCATTCCCTCCACTCGCCCCATCTGCAGCACTTGGGTCATTACCAGCTCCGTTGCTGTTGTCCCCATTGCCACTGCTGTCTCCGTTGCTGCTGTCCCCACTCTTATCTTTCTTCCTCCTCCCAAACAGCCCCTTTCTCTTCTTCGTTGGCTGGTCCGTTGTCCCACCTGCACTTGATCCTGATTCTCCCCCACTGCTGCTGTCGCTGCCGCTGCTCGTGTTGTCCGCAGGAACAGGGGGGGGCGGAGTCGTTTTCTTCGTCTTGCCCGTTGACCCGGTATTCCCTGAAGCGTCAATACCACCACTGCCTGTGCTGCTCCCTCCGCTAACCTTCTTTTTGGTCGGTGCAGGGGGCGCAGGTGGGCTCACTACTTCAGCAGGTGGATCCTTGTGTTTTCCTTTTTTCCCAGGAGGAGGGGCGGGGGGGCTAGCAGGATTTCCATCAGAGACCTTCTCACCCTTATTTCCCGCAGAAGGAGCAGCGGGAGGTGGTGTCGTTTCAACTGGCGGTACCTTCTTTCCCTTCTTCCCAGCAGCAGGAGCAGCGGGAGGTGGTGTCGTTTCAACTGGCGGTACCTTCTTTCCCTTCTTCCCAGCAGCAGGAGCAGCGGGAGGTGGTGTCGTTTCAACTGGCGGTACCTTCTTTCCCTTCTTCCCAGCAGCAGGAGCGGCGGGAGGTGGTGTCGTTTCAACTGGCGGTACCTTCTTTCCCTTCTTCCCAGCAGCAGGAGCAGCGGGAGGTGGTGTCGTTTCAACTGGCGGTACCTTCTTTCCCTTCTTCCCAGCAGCAGGAGCGGCGGGAGGTGGTGTCGTTTCAACTGGCGGTACCTTCTGTCCCTTCTTCCCAGCAGCAGGAGCGGCGGGAGGTGGTGTTGTTTTAACAGGCGGTACCTTCTGTCCCTTCTTTCCAGCAGCAGGAGCAGCGGGAGGTTGAGTCACTTCAGCTAGCTGCTCCCTCTTTTTCCTCTTCTTGCTACCTGGTGTGGTAGGAACAGGTCCGCTGATGTCAGACGGTTGCTTCTTCTTTCCAGGGGACCCCGTGCTGCTGCTGCCACTGGGAGCAGGAGACTCACCTAGTCCCGTTTTGCCCCCTTTCCCTTTTCCGCTGTTGCTGCTGCTAGGTCCTGCACTGCCGCTCGTGCTTGGCTTGCCACTGTTCGCATTTCCAGCCGAATTCGCTCCTGGTTTCTTGGCAGGCTGCTTCCGGGTACCACTCGATGCCTGAGCCGGTGACACACTGTCTGCAACTTCCTTGTTGTTCCTGTTGCCCTTCTTGCCTCCAGACGCAGGTGTCGCAACGCCTCGGGTGACGGCTGCAGGGTCCGCGATCCAGTTCATTTTGTTGATGTAGTCGTTGCTCAAGAACGGCTTCACCTCCTCCGCACTCATTTCCGTCCCTATCTCCCACGCACTCGCATTATACCCTGGCCCAGAGCAGCCGTATGCGCCGAATGTAACCTTGTCCATGTGCTTGTAACCACTAACGTAACTCCAACCTTCCGCCCGAACGGAGCCCTCCGCGAAATAGGTGTTGACGAGTACGACAGTCGAATAATCGCCCCACGAACGCGCGAGGTAGCCAGGCTTGATGGGGCCTTTGCCGTACGGCCGGAGAGAGCCGCCCTTGATGACGAAACCCGTGTTCTGCTCCTTCCCGCGTGCTTGCGCGAAGTACGCGCCGCCCCAGTAGATGAGGCGGAAGTTGCAATCCTCAAAGACGGCCTTGGCATTGCCGAACACGAAGTCCATTCGCCCGTGGATGTCTGCGCGCGGGCAGGTGGGGGACACGACGGTTAGGTCACAAACAATTATGTACTATGGAAGACGCCCGAGAATACATGTCCAAGAACCGAATGTACTTACTGCAACCCTTGTAATATTGCAAGCCAGACGCCGCGTAAAGGGTGTCCTGCAAGGGATGGGAACCACGGACAGGACGGGGAAGGAGGAGAAAGGTGGAAGGTGAATCAGAAAAGGCGAGGTATGCGTCATTGATCACATACAAAGAAGCTGGACTATGGACCTGAGCTGTTGACCACGTGTGTGCGAACGTTGAAGTGTACAGGTGAACGTGAGCTCACTCCTGAAAGGCGGTAAGAATGTTCCAAACCTCTTATCCTGTTCACCTGATACCCGAGAAACGTGCATCCGTAGAAGGCGATGCGCGTGCCGGCCACCTTGATTGCCAAGGCTTGGTCCTCGTCCCTGCGGGATGGACATATCAGGTACGAGGACAGCAGGCCGTCATAAGGACATTGATTGAGAGCTGCTGAGCAAATTCAAGCCTGTCGGGAGAAGCGCCGTTGAAAGGAATAGAGAGGCAGCAGAGGTCGAAGCGTTGGATCCCACTAATTGGGGTATCAATTGTATCAGATTTCTCTCGTACCCGCCCTGCTCGCCCGGTCCGTGCGCGTTTTCGAAGATGATATTGGAGACGACCACATCTGAAGCCAGCAGCTGGAATGTCGCGCACTCGTCCAGACTCGAGTCGCCCGCCGCGCCCGACGAAGTTACCTTCACACCGCTGCCGGCCATCTCGCCCACCAGCGCCACGTGGTGTAGCGAAGTCGGCATCTGTTGAGGATACGTCGCGATGCGAGTGGACCAAAAACAGCTCCTCAAAAACAGCTCGTGATATAAACGCGGGACTGAAGATACAGCAATATAGCGAGATGCGAGAGAGACGGCATGCAATATAGCGTTCATGTCTCACCACTGGCTGCTCTTCGTACACGTCAGCCCTGATGAGGATGACCGTGAATCGATCCCTATTGCCGGACCACGCTGCTGCAAGTGCTTCCTGATTATAACGCACGTGGAGCAGATGCCAGAAGGCCATTCGTGGATGATGGAAATAAAACGATTTTCACTAGAATAAACAGTGGGACGAGAGCTAAAATAGGTTGGCAGGTAAATAGGTTGGCAAAAATAGGTTGGCAAAAAGAAATAGGTTGGTAAATAGGTGGGACGAGAGCAAAAAAAGGTTCGCGCATGACAATGCGATGGATGACCAGCCAACCAGTGAAGCTTCTACTCCTAAGCAACGTGACCTTCAGCGAACCAATAACGCAGATCACGAACGTACACTAATTGTGGTATAATCGCCGCTGCCATCTTTCGCGACGACGATATCCGCTCCGCCTTTACCTCCCAAGCCTGCTAACGCTTGTGTTCCCTCTCCAGGTACCATGACGAGGAGCAGGAGGACTGCACAAAAAAATCTGCTCCATTCCGCAGATGATGCTCGGATGCGGAAATGCACCTTCGAGCACATGTCGCGCGAAGGTTTGCTATATTGCGTGAAGGTTTGTCAAATCCGCAAGGGGTGAGGCAAAGTGAAATCTGTGAGATAGTCTGCAGGTAGCACATATAATTTCGCTTGCATGATTTGCATTGGCCAACATAATACCTGTTGCCAAGAGCATATGTATCCCCGTTCGAGTTGATCTGGGAATTCGGATTACAGTAGGAGGGACCGAACCGAGACGCGCATCTCTCCATTCCCTAGACATGTGCGGGCCGCGAAATCTCATTCTTTGCCTCGCAAATTGAACAATTTCACCACCACCAAAACGTTCCATTCAACCCATGGCCGACATCTCAGCTCACGTGTACAGCGCGAAAGCACAAACGTGCGAATTTTAGAAAATACAGCGGTGCGGCTCAAGACGGGCGTAACGGAATATTACAATCGCGACACAGGTTGTGCTATGTGCTGGAAAAGACGAGTGTACTAAAATGTCAATCTAGAAGTAGTGATTATAGAAAGAGGCTTTGAAACATTTGGAATATACAGACTTCATGAGAGGCTCTACATGGTAGCATTCTGTTTTAGGGTATTGTAAATCATGCGGAGAATAGGCGAGTTTGGGAGAGCCTAGGCGCAGAGTTGCGCGAGTTTTCTGTATACAGACTTGCTGGAAACCGGATACTAGTATTCGGTAAACAGTATGCTGCGTATGCAGTAACAAGCTTGGTGTCCAGTAACGAAAAGGAAAGTAATTCATTAATTGATTGATTACAACAGAAACAACATGATCCTTATAGAGAAGCATGTCAAAATGTGATGTTTGTCTAGCCTGCAGTGGGGTACTCTATAGCGAGTACAGCCCAAATTAGGGTTTCCTATATGTATCCTACCTGCTGCTAGTGCAAACCTCTCCTTCCTGTTTCTATCGTTTGCCTAGCCTTTCGACATGCTATCGGAGCGGTTACGCTCCTGGCCTGTGGGCCCACCGTTAGCTTCCGCTGCTATCCTGTCTTTCGCGCGCCCCGTGACGCGTGACGTTTTTACTTCCCGCCACGCGCTCGGGGCGCATGGCGGTTTTCTGCTCGCCGCGCGCCCCGATCGCGCTGCGGTTTTCTGCCCGCCGTGCGCCCCGAGGCGCGCGGCGGTTTCCTGCCCGTCGACCCGCGCGTCGCCCCCCGTCGCCCGTCGCGGAGCCCCCAGAGACCCGCGCGTCGCCCCCCGTCGCCCGACGCGGCCCGCGCGACCTGCGTCCGCGTGCGGCCCGTACGGGCTGCGCCAGGCCCGCGCGCGGCTCGTACGGGCTGCGCCAGGCCCGCGCGCGGCCCGGGCAGCCCGCGCGCGGTTCGTCCGGCCTACGACAGGCCCGTGCGCGGCCCGTCCAGTCTGCCCCGGTCCCGCACGCCGTCCCCCGAGCTTCTGACCGCGCCCCACCCCCGCTGCTGCCCGCGCTCCTGTGTTAGGGTTTGGGGGTGGCGAGTATAGGGGTGGCATGTGTGTGAGCTGTCCCCTGCTCGTCCTCCTCCTCCGTCTCCCACTGCTGCAGCTGCCGCTGAGGGGGGTGGATGTGTTGGAGCCGTCGGAGTGGTACGAGGGGGGTGGCGTGTGAGCGGTGCTAGAGGTTCAACAGGGAGTGTGTGAAAGGGGTGTGGGACACATGGAGGAAGTTGAGTGGAGGCAGTCGTCTTGTCGTCCGCAGCGCCTGAAGTCCAGAGAGCCACGACCCCCTGTGGCCTGAGTAGTCCGGGGCTCTGCGCCTGGTAGCCACAGTGTGAGCACTCCTGGGAGCACAGCGAGCCAGCTGCGCCTGTCGCCGTGTAGTCCGGGTTTAGCCTGGTAGCGACAGTGCTGCACACTCCTGTTGCCCGTGTGTCTGCAGCTTCAGCCGTCGCCTCCCATCTTCTCGCCCCCGCAGTTTCTCCTCCTCCTCACTTGCCCTCTGTGATAGCCTCTAGCTTTGCTTGCATTTGTGAACCTACTGCTCTGCCTGCTTGCTGTGCTGATTATACCCCACTTTGACTATGGGGGTGTGTCAGAATGTGATGTTTGTCTAGCCTGCTGTGGGGTACTCTATAGCGAGTACAACCCAAATTAGGGTTTGCATATATGTACTCAACTGCCTGCTAGTGAACCTCCTCTTTCCTATTTCTAGTTTTCGCCTATGATTTCGACAAAGCATAGTGACGTGTGCGAGAACGTTCTACGAGAACGTTGTTCATGAAGAACGTTGTTCAAGGAGAACGTGCAAGCACCTACTCTAGTATGCGGTTCCAGGTTGGCACCGCCAGGTGAAAATGTCACAAGGTGAAAATACCGTCAGATGTATTTTCTACCTGCCCAGGAGTAGTTGCGCAGGTGCTCGCAACAGACAGCTGCACATACTCGTTTGTGCAATGTCGTCACTTTCCTTCAAACGGTTCAATGTTGAACAGTGCATACCGAAGTGCACAGATTGGAGTGTACTCGGCGAATACCGAAGCTCCGGTATGCGGTATGCGAAACCTCGCTACATCGCATAAGGCTGCTACACGCGAAACCAGGCGCGTGCAGGGCTTCGCCTTAACAAATCAGTGGGTTGAGTATGCTGTCAAAATAATATATACTTCTATATATTGTTTTATAACTATGTTAGATATTATGCTCTAGCCTGCAGTGGGGTGCTCTATAGCGAGTACAACCCTTCTAGGGTTAGCTATTTGTACCACCATTGTTGCTAGTGCAAACTCTCCTTTGCTCATTTCTCTCTTGCCTAGCTAGGTAAACCCTAGCTATGGCTCCTAAGCATACCTATTCTCGTGACATGCTATCAGAGCAGGACGATCCTGTTGGGTCGATCCTGTGGGTGGGCCCCACCACCTTAGTCTTCCGCTGCTCCTACTACTGTCTGTGTCGCACGCCCCGTGGCGTGCGACGGATTTTTCATCCCGCCGCGCGCTCGGGGCGTGCGGCGGTTTTCTCCCCGCCGTGGGGGACCCCGTGCGCCCCCCCCCCCCTTTTCGTTGCGACGTCCTAAGGAGCCGCGCGCGGCCCCCCGCGGCCACGATTTCCCGTCGCGCCGCCCTGGGGAGCCGCGCGCGACCCCCCGCTGCCCCGTCGACGGCCGCGACGCCCTGGGGAGCCGCGCGCGGCCCCCGATTTCCCGTCGCGCCGCCCTGGGGAGCCGCGCGCGACCCCCCGCTGCCCCCGCGTGGCGCCCTAAGGAGCCGCGCGCGGCCCCTCGCTGCCCCGTGGTGGCGTCCTGGGGGCCGCGCGCCGTCCCCCTCGCCGTCCCCCGCGCTCCTTCCCCCGTTCCGCCCGTTTTAGGGTTTGGGGGTGAGGAGTGTGGGGGTGGCGACTATGGGGGTGTCGGTTGTGAGTTCCTCCCCCTGCTCCTCCTCCTCCCTAGTCTCCCTCTGCTACAGCTGCCGCTGAGGGGGGTGGTGTGTGGGAGCCTAGGGTTTGGGGTTTAAGGGGGGTACCGTGGGAGTGGAGCTAGCTAGGGTTTGAAGCAGAGGGTGTGTGTCGAGGGGTGTGGGACTGGCAGGGGGAGGTTGAGCGGAGGTTGCCGTCGTGTTGTACGCAGCGCCTGTACTCCGGGGCACTCATTCCCGGTAGCTCAGAGAGCCGGTTGCGCCGTCGCCTGTGGGTCCGTTGCTCCTGCCGCGCATATTAGCCGCGGAGCCTGTTACTCCTGTACTCCGGGGCACTCATTCCCGGTAGCCACGTTGTCGCACCAGAGCCGTCTGTTGCCCGTGTGTCTGCAGCTTCAGTCGTCGCCTCCTATCTACTCTCCTCTCGCCAGCCCTCCTCCTCCTCACTTGCCCCCTGTGACTGCCTCTAGCTTTGCTCATAATTGTGAACCTTAAACTATTGCTTCTTGCTTGTGCTCAGAATGTGTGGTGACATCGTGATCCACCCTGAGCTTGTACTGCTTTGCTTGCTCTGCTGATTACACCCCACTTTGACTATGGGGGTGTGTCAGAATATTATGCTCTAGCCTGCAGTGGGGTGCTCTATAGCGAGTACAACCCTTCTAGGGTTAGCTATTTGTACCACCATTGTTGCTAGTGCAAACTCTCTTTTGCTCATTTCTCTCTTGCCTAGCTAGGTAAACCCTAGCTATGGCTCCTAAGCATACCTATTCTCGTGACAAACTAGTCCTAAATTATCTTAGGCTTTTAATATGGTATCAAAGCGGTTTCGTTCCTAATGGGCCCACCAATTTCTCCACGTATGGCGCTCGTCACGCCCTTCGTCACGCCCTTAGTTTCGAAGGTCGCAGCGGCCTCAACTAAGAGTGCGACGGCGAGTTGGGCGCGACCACCTGCATCGCGCTACCCCGTCGCCTGCCTTCCTGTCGCCCCGCCGCTGGCCGCGAACGAGGCCCTACAATATCAGGAATTTTTCCCTGAAATCCCAGATTTTCAGCGTATTTGTATGCACCTACACTGATTTTTCAGTGTGTATATTTTTCTGAGACTGATTTTTCAGCCTTCATTTTATAGTTAGCACTGAGTTTTCAGTCTTTTATCGAAGTGTACACTGAATGCACATTCGTAATCCTGACTGAAAAACGACCAAAATGACTACTTTTGAGGTCGTCTACTGTACAAACCGCTTTATTGATAGCTTATAGTGTCTTGGTTGTTAGTGAAACCATTGTGGAAGGGTAAGATCTAAGGTTCGATTCCCCTTATGGCGTGTAATTCGGTAGCATTGTAGTCATGTCGAAGGTATCCATTGATGAAAAACAGGGTATCTTTTTAATGAACCCTGAAAATTCAGGCACTTTTTTTCAGGGACACTGAAAAACAGCCTTTTTTTTTTCAGGGACCCTGATGCATGAACGTCCCTAAAAGCGAATCTGAGGGTCTGCCGCGAACACGCGCACCGACGCCTGCGCCCAGCGCCGAATGCGGACGCCAGCGCTAGGCGCCAGCGCCCGACGCCAGCGCGGGGCTCCTGCTCCCGACGTCGTCGCGGACGCTAGCGCCAGGCGCCAACACGGACGCAAGCGCCTGCGGCAGCCCACGCCCCCCTCCCTTCCG